TTGTAACATTACAGCCCACCTTTGCACTCTGGGTGATCCCATTTGAGGAACTGCCTTCGTTTCATTGAACAAATGGATCAAGGGCTTATGATCAGTGCAAATAGTAAATGCCCGACCATACAAGTACTTATGAAATCTTTGGATGCCAAAAATCACAGCTAAGCCTTCTTTGTCCAACTGTGAATAACGCTTCTCTGCAGACGTGAGTGTTCTTGACATGAACCCAAGGGGTTTCTCCATACTCTCTCCTTTTCTACGCTGCGAGAGCACTGCACCCACCCCATAGGGAGAGGCGTCACAAGCCAGAACCAGTTCAGAATCTGAGAAATAATGAACTAGCACCTCGGCTGATTTTAGCAGGGATTTAGAGTCTTTGAAAGCTTCTTGTTGTGGCTTTTTCCACATCCACGGAACCTCTTTTCTCAGCAGCAGATGTAGAGGAGCTAGCAGCGTTGCCAGGTTGGGAAGGAACTTATTATAATAATTGAGCAAGCCCAGATATGCTTTGAGTTCTGCAACATTACTTGGTTCTGGTGCTTCTTCTATAGCTTTCACTTTAATTGCCATCGGATGTAAACCCTGGGCATCTACTCTGTGGCCTAAATATTCCACCTCATCTGCCAGGAACATGCATTTTCCCCGTTTCAATCGCAGACCAGCTTCTTTCAATCTCGCCAGCACTTCATCCAGTGTCTTCAAGTGACTTTCTTGATTTACGCCAGTCACCAATATATCATCAAGATAAACAACTACTCCTTGAATACCTTGCAACAATCCCTCCATTGTTCTCTGAAAGATAGCAGGAGCGGAAGCAACTCCAAAGGGTAAACGATTATATGTGAATAACCCTTTTTTTGTGTATTCACTGTCAAGTATTTCTTGGAGTTTTCATCCATGATGATTTGTTGGTATGCGTGACTCATATCCAGTTTTGTGAACTGTTTTCCTCCCTCCAACCGAGCAAAAAGATCCTCCACCCTTGGTATGGGATACTGTTCCAATTTTGAGGCTCTGTTAACTGTGAGTTTGTAATCACCACATAATCTTACACTGCCATCTGGTTTCAGGATAGGAACAACAGGAGCTGCCCACTCTGAGGACTTCACAGATGAGATGATTTTGTCCCGCAGTAGTCGATTAATCTCCTCCTCCACCTTTGTTTTCAGGGCAAATGGCACAGATCTAGGTCTAAAAAACCTGGGTGCGGCATCAGTCGGCACATGAAGAGTGGCAGTAGCACCCCTTAATGTCCCCAGCTCCTCCTTGAAAACTTCCGCATGCTGGAATAGCACCTGTTGCAACGTCATCTCCGACTGCACCAGCTTTATCTCACTCCATTGCATTTGAAGCTCTTCAAGCCAGGATCGGCCTAGTAAGCAAGGCCCTGTTCCCTTCACTATAACAAGTGGCATTATCTTTTCTTGCTGCTGGTATTTTACTTCTACATCAGCCACACCCACTATTCCAATGGCTCTCCTGTATACGTTCTCAACTTGATTTTTGTAAGTCTCAGTTTGGGAGCTTCAGAATCTTTCCAGATGACCTTGTACATTTCCTCACTCATAAGACTGACACTACATCCAGTATCGATTTCAAAGTTTATCAGTCGGCCATTAACAATTAACTCAACAGTAAGGGGTTTTACTTTCTTCAGTGCATCAGTTTGTACACATGCCAACGTGAATGTTTCTTCAAATTCATCACTGTCATTATTGTCACTTACATTGAATGCTCGATGCGGCCGCACCACTTTTCCACTTCTTCCAGTTATTGTGGGTCCACTCTGTTTACTTTTGTTACGACAGGCCCTGGCGATATGACCTATTTTTTCACACACATAACATTTGTCCTTCTTAAATCTGCAATCATTTGCTTTATGGTTTGTCCCACAGCATCTGTAACATTCTCTTAATTCTTTTTGTTCACTCATTTCTCCCTTTTTCCAGCGATCAGGTTTTCTCTCTTTATACATGACGCTGTTACATGCCTGTACGCTGGATTTACTTTGTAAGTCGAGCACATTTTTACTTGCCGCTTCATTGGCTACTGCAATTTTAAAAGCAGTCTCAAACGTCAGATTTGCTTCTGAGAGCAGCCTTCTCTGAATCCGATCATCATCTATGCCACAAACAAGTCGATCCCGCAGCATTTGATCCAAAGTTGCTCCATAATTACAATCTTGTGCCAAACGACGTAACTCTGCTACATATTCTGTCACAGTCTCTGTCGGCTTCTTCATCCTTGAATCAAATCTAAATCGCTGTACAATCTCACTTGGCTGAGGGTTGAAATGATTTTTTAGCAGTGTTACCAGTTGCTGAAAAGTCTTTTCACTTGGCTTTGTTGGACTCAGAATATTTCGCATCACACTGTAAGTTTGTGGTCCCACAACACTTATGAGAATAGCTCTTTGCTTACCCTCATCTTCAATTCCATTAGCCACGAAAAATTGCTCCAGTACTTCAGAATACTCTTCCCATGTTTGAGCTTGTGCATCAAATGCCGCTAGTGAGCCAATAGTTCCTGTAGCCATGGTTAATCCTCCATATGTTGTCGCCCCAGGCTTCTTTTTTTTTTTTCTGGTTGTCACAATCCAATCCTCGTCGCCAAAAATGTAGTATCTTTACACTGCATAAAGTAGACAACTACATTCATAAAGTTGAGTCAATGCTTTACTTGGTTTGTTTGCCCATACACACACCAGGCCGCCAGCCTATCACATGTCTGTCTCCCAGATCAAACACAACACTTGTATTACAATGACACCTAGTGGTTACTCCAAGATACTACAATCATACGATACAAACATTTAATTAACTTTTTTTTTCAATTCTGCAATTTGACTGTTTCAAAGTTTACAGTGATTATAATAGGAAATTATAGTAACAGAAATTAGGCTTAAGCAGCTCTAGAATAAAGTTATTGTCGAGCTAAAGTTGATTCCGATTGATTCACTTCCTTCGCGACGATCATTAGTTATTATTTATTAGCCTTATTAACATTAGCTGCCAGGAAATAAAATAATAATAATGAATAAATAAAAAATAGAAAAAATACATAGGCCTAGTCAAGTGCTTTCAAAATAATGTCATGTTTTCAGTGCGTGTTTTGTTTGTTTGTCCAAAATATTTACATGTAATTTAAAGTCATTTTTTAAAATGTGAAAAACATTAGTTTGCATTATTTTCCCAATAAAAAACTGTATGTTGTTCAACAAATTTCTATCAGTTTTCTACTAATAGAGGTTTCTAAATCTTTCCGAAATAATCTTGAGTATATAGTGACTATTGATATTGAAAAACAAATAAAAAATAACTTATTTCTGGTGCACAAAATATGAAATCTGAAGCTTAAAACTTGTCAGTCAAAAAAGGCTTAACAGCAATTTTTAAGGCCTAAAACGTATGAAGGCAGAACAAAGAGCATTTTTATATCCTTATTCCTTAATGCTATTTTTTGTTTTAAAACATGAACATTATCAGTGAAAATGCTCCCACAAAGATCATCCATGCTGTTTTCCACTGAATTAGAGTTATTGATCGGATAAAAGCGTAATAATGTTTATATGCATCAACCGAGTTCAGTGGTTCGTGGTGTACAAAAAGTTCAATCTAGTTATTTACAATCTCAATAGTGAGACTTCTATAGCAACATTAAAAAATGCACAATGAATTGTCATATATTTGGGTTTTTTACACCAACATTATCAGTGAAAATGTTCCACAAAGATCATAGAGCGGCCACATGCGCTAGTTTTAGTTTTAACCTTTTTACTCCCACATAACGAAACTTAGTGTGTATAGTTATTTTACTAGCTATATTATAGAGAAAAATATTGTTTTTTTTTTTTAAGATAACATGATTTCTTTCAGACTATAATGTAGGCTATTTGTAGGCCCACATTTAACCCTAAAACCGTATTCTGGACAAATATTGGCAAATAGTTTTGATTTATTTAAAAAAAAAAAAAATACGTCCCTTGATCTGAGCGGTACAAGACTTGGCTACTTTCCCTAAGTTTTCCTCTTGAACACACACAATTTTTTTGACTCAATTCTACAATGTTAAGTGGGTGAAAATAAACCCCTCCTTTTAATCTTGTATTTGGGTCAAAAATGGGCACCCATAGAAATGAATGGGAAAACTGTAATTTGCATTTAGAGCATTCTAAAATAAGCCAAAATAAGACACCAGGTGACAGCAAAGTCACTTCGTCTTTAGGTTTTAGCTCTTAGAACTTATTGGAATGATATTTTAATGTAGTTAATGTAGTTTTATTTTAAAAAAAATAAAACATAAAATAAACAATTTACATAGAAAATATGGTATTTTTTGAAGTAAATAAATTAAAAAATACCCCCAAAATAAAAAAAAACAAACACCATAAATGGATAGACAAAACTTTATCGAAAAATTAGGATCTGAGTCCTCTGTGCCCACATTTACCCACAATTACAGTATTAAGGACTATGAAGTGAGGTTTGAGGGCTACCTGGTACTTTCTGACACGCACACAAAAAAATTGCTATGTTGATTTAAAATGTTGTAGGCCTCTCTCTCCTCTCTCTCTCTCTCTCTCCTCTCTCTCTCTCTCTCTCTCTCTCCTCTCTCTCTCTCACACACACACACACACACACACACACACACACACACACACACACACACACACACACACACACACACACGCGCGCGCGCGCGCGAGTTTCCATGTTGGGTACTACATACCAGTTTTTGTCGGTTTAACCACCAAACTGAGAAAGTCTAAAGCGTTAGGTTGTGCCCCTTACTGGTCAAAAACTTACCCTTACTGGTCTTACAAAAAAACTGTCCATTTGTCAAATTTAAATGATATTTTCAGATTTTTGCTGTATGATTAAGTTTAATTCAAATCTTTAGGTCGTTTTCCTGAATGATTTAGTTAACAATTTCCAGCAAACAAACGAACAAACAAACAAACAAACAAACAAACAAAGGAGTTTACAACAACAAAAAAAACTTACAGATGTAAAGTTGAATGAAGAATTCAAGTAGTTCGTTGAAAATCGTATCTTCAGTCTTTCAGCGCGCCTGTCATTCAAAACGAAAGAATTCGATCACGTGAGGAAGCAAGCGAGGGCCAATGAGCAGCGGCATGAGCACACTGTTTCCGGGGCAATTTTTGAAATGGAAATGAAGAAGTGCAAATGCGGAAGTGTAAGGAAACGAAGCTGCTGATCTTGCAAACTTGATATTCCTGTTGGCTTGTAACACCAATAAGCAAGGCAGATATAATAGCCGGTACAGGAAGATAAAACTTAAAATATTAGATAATCCAACAATTATAGAAAAACATTGGAAATTTATAAAATGGCCAATTGCACCCAAAGTAAAAGAAATGCAATTTAAAATTCTTAACAACTACTATCCATCTGCGGAGACACTGAGGGGTAGATTTGGTTTTGAAGTTGACCCTTGCGATTTTTGTCATGAACACCCAGAACAAACAGAACATTTATTCTTCCTTTGCTCAGTTAGCAGGAAGTTCTGGCAAGATGTCCACAGCTGGTTGAAAAATAAAATTAGTGAATTTTTATCCTCCTTGAACCTTGTAAAGAAATCTAAACAAACTGTAGAAGATGTATGTTATGCTGCTGAAAAGTTTTTGATCCTGTAACACATTATTTATTTGAAAACTATGCCTTGTTTTATGTATTACTTTTAATTTATTTTATTTTATTATGATGCCTGGTCTGTTTTTTTTTGATGTTGTCTCCACGAGAGTTTGTAATAAACTTGCAAAAAAAAAAAAAAAAAAAAAAAAAGATATAATAGCCGGCTACAGTATGGGGAAAGAAACAAAGGGAAGAGTCGAAAAAAGCACTATAGGTAATAAAATGACACATTAATAACTCCTCTCAGAATAGCACGTTTAAATGATTCTTGATCTAGAATAGGGGCATATATGGAAGGAATAGTTGCAGTCAAACATAAACGGTTGAACTTGTCTGAACTTTTAACATCTATTAAAAAACATAACTAATTAATCACACCGTTTTCCTGTAATTAATATAAATTAATAGCACCTAACAGTTTTATATGATAATATTTTACATTGAATCCCCAAATTAACGAAACAACACAGGTAGTAGTATATCTTTCAAAAATGTGTCTTTTTTATGAATAAAGGCCATCAGTGTCTCTATGAAAATGACCCCAACAATTGTAGCCATTAATTATAGCCATTCTGCATTATGATATAATTGATAGCTATGCATTTTAACATTTATTAGGCTTTTAAAAATATAACAACTTTTATTTCAAGTGAACTTAAAACAATCTTCACATAAACCCATTATAATGTCACATTCAATCATATTCTAAACAATCAAATGCTTTGTAATAGTCAAATAGGGGCTACAATATAGACTATTGTTATGTCTGCATCTATGCTAATATAACACTGATAATATTTATTCTTACAGGAACAGACACAACAGTGAGTAAAGGGAACAACTTGTTCTCCGTTTTATTACTTTGTCAGCATCAGCCAAACAACGTGCAGTCCGGAGCGCCCTCCAGTGGCGATACGCGAGAATGAATTTACCTAAAAAGATCACAGTTCCTCCTCTCTGAGATTGGTGCCTTTTGGGTCATATCATTTTTTTAATACCTCAAAGAGTTATATTTCTGATCATTTCATGTTATAGTGGATTAGTCAAACCTTTAAGAAAATGTATTTTCCCATCTCAGGCATGAAATTCTAATCGATATTGAGTGTTTTTTTCTTACTGAAAGTTGTTTTGAAGTTCAACCCCGTCACAGACCACTTGGACCCTGTTTATGTGATTTAAAAATATTTTCAATTAAATTCTTGTAGAAGCTTTTTCAATGAGATGTCCCTTCTTTGATATTATTTATTGCATGTAGAATTTTATTTTTAAATACCATTTGAATACCAAATCAGCTCATGAAAACTGTATATAGCTACATTGGTCTTCATATCTTATCAAAAAATATGCATTAGGATTTAATTAGGCTTTCATATTTTTTCCCAACTGTCTGGTAAATTCTACACACAGCAAAACAAACGTTGACCTAATTTATCTTCGTATCACAAAAATATTAAAGGAGCTGCCTATGCAAGATTGTGGCCAAAACTGGTACTGCAATCACTGTCAAATTAGGGTGTGTCCCCGCCTTCCCCATGACTCGAGGTTGCCAGATATGCTGCAAGTTCCAGCAGGAATGTATGTATATATATAATTTTTTTTTTTACTATCCCTCTGGCGTCCCTATTCGCCGCACAGCACACCCACTGTTCACGTACCACATCTGAGCCAGATCTGGGCCGACACCACTGTCTGGCTCTTGATCTGTAAATTGTCTATTATTTTGTAAAGTTCCTCATTTTGACTTTGTTCCCCATGTTCCATGCTGAAGGCTTTGCTTCATTTTAAATTTTGGCTAAGCTGAAAGAAAAAATAAATAGGCTAAAAAAGGAAGAAAAAAAACTGTTAAAACATTTTGTTACTTTAAATCTTCAAATCTCTTTTTTTAATATCAATACTTGTACCATCTAACTTGAAAATGAATTCAATATATATATATATATATATATATATATATATATATATATATATATAAACATCAGTAAGACAGAGTCCAGAGGGTAAATATTAGGCTATAACAGACATTTGAAGTTTGAATCTCGAAATGATCTATTATGGTGAAAGTGAACAGCTGTGTCCCCTATAAGGTGTGATTTATAAATCAATACTTAATTATTCCAAATCAAACATGTTTGGAAACTAAATAAATGTATACGTATATATCAACCAAGATATAAAGAGATTATCGTGGTTGTTTTATATCTGGGAGTTTAACATTGTTTCCGCCAGTAGAGGCGCTACTGGCAACCAAAGCAATAACATACATCCATCCGAGTCTAGGAGAAGAAGAGAAGTGAGCGAGGGAAGGGAACATAAAGATGAGAAGTGGAACACAGCCATTCATTCTGCTCTAAATCTGCTGTTTTTCAGACTGTGAGTATATTCATTTGATCATTTATCAGGAGAAGTCTCTCAAATGATTCGGTTCATTTGAGTGAGTACAACCAGTCAGATCTTGAATCTGAAGTTGAAGCACTTTCATTATGTTCGAAAAGAAGTGAAATAAATGAACCATGGGTTTACTACAAATAAAACAAAAACATGGTTACTATTGTTAAAGCCATTACCGTAGTTTAACCGTTGTATTTGCAGTTAAAACTGGTAAAATAAATAAATGGGCAATAAATAAAATGGCAATCAATCTGTCAAAAGCCAATGGTTACTACACTTTATACAAATCATGGTTAATGTTCGGCAACGTTGTAAATATAACAATATATAAGCGCATCATTAACTGACAAAGTGTAAAGATTTTACATTGTTTTTTTGTAATTAATAAATGAAACCTGGTGTAAACACAAGTTGTAGCTCAACATTTTACGTTATTTTTGTGCTGCTAAAAATGTAGCCTATGCTAATTTTTTTAGTTGCAAAAGTTTGCCTTCAACTCCTTTTTATCCAATTATTGGTTCAAAATAGCAGCGTAATCCTTACAGTTAAAACCTCAACTTATAAAGTTGTTTCTAAATAGCTATTAGAGCACAACACTTAAAGGGATAGTTCACTTTAATTCAACGATATAAATACTGTTCGTTTTCTCACACAAACCGCTCATTTCGTGTCTTAGGCATCAATGTGTACTTACATTTACGAGTCATTCAATCATGTTTAATTTGGACTTCTCTGTGCATGCTCTTTGACACGGACCCCCTAAACCTGCATTATATGACTGATAGACAACGGATTGACCGAAAAATGTCAAAATTGAAAATACTGTGGAAACAAAGACACCTACATCTTGGATGCCCTTAAGGTAAGCTAAAACGTATCAAAAATTATTTCAAAGTGAACTATCCCTTTAAAGCTGGATAATCTCGAGTGATTGTAAGTGTTATCATCTGGCAGTCATTTTATGAAAAAAGGTTGAACAAATTACACCAGAAGCAAACTCAACTGATTTTGTATCCTCAATATGTCCTGAATAAGAAAAAAAAGCCCAGAAGAATCACATTTGGGGAAAGTTTAGAAAAAGGCCCAAATATATCCCATTCATTCGCATATTCATTCTTTTTTTCACGTGAAAAGGGTAAAAATTTTAACCTTTAGATATCATCATGAAAATCACTGAGTTGATTACTTGCATCAAGACAAACAAAAATGTATTACAAGTTTTTTTTTATTGTTTGTTAACATGGACAAACGGTGCATAATTTTAGCTAATTTGCATAATTACCCAAACAGATCTAAACATTGGGTATAGCAGGTGAAAATGTTTTTTTTTTTTTTTTTTTTAATTTTGACGAAATATAACAGTAAAATACTTAATATTAAGGTCTGAATGGAATCCATTTAGGCTGCCCATGAACATTAAGCATACAGGAAGAAGTACTTTAGAAACCAGCCTTTATTCATTAATATTGCAGAGATAGGGTTTGAGCATTGTGTACCAGTGTTGTAGTACTCGAGACTCGGACTCGTCTCGGACTCGGTCTCGAGACCATACTTTAATGGTCTTGGTCTTGTCATGGACTCGTGTCCATTTGGACTCGGAATTGACTCGTACTCGAACATTTTTTTTTTAGGACTCGGACTTATTCCCGAGTCCACTCGAGTTCAATTCAAAATATTTTTCATGATTATTAATGTATGTTAATAAAATATTTTTTTAAATTGATTGACACCCCCAGTGATTGGTGATTTTCTAGTGCGCAACTGCGCATGACAAATTGTAATAAAACGTGGCCTTTTTACCCTAAACTGATCATATTTTTTAAACTCTAAGTAAATTCAGTAAAAAAAAAAAAAGGATTTCTCTAAGTAAATAAAAGTAAATTAGGTAATCAACCCTCACTGGTCTCAGTCTCGACTCGGACTCGACTCTCTATGGACTCGGTCTTGACTCGGACTCGACTCTCTCTGGTCTCGGTGTCGACTCGGACTCGTGTGAGGTGGTCTCGACTACAACACTGTTGTGTACGTAATAGCCTCTATGCACGA